GTGTCTGTGTCTGTGTCTGTGTCTGTGTCTGTGTCTGTGTCTGTGTCTGTGTCTGAGTCTGTGTCTGTGTCTGTGTCTGGGTCTGTGTCTGTGTCTGTGTCTGTGTCTGTGTCTGTGTCTGTGTCTGTGTCTGTGTCTGTGTCTGTGTCTGTGTCTGTGTCTGTGTCTGTGTCTGTGTCTGTGTCTGTGTCTGTGTCTGTGTCTGTGTCTGTGTCTGTGTCTGTGTCTGTGTCTGTGTCTGTGTCTGTGTCTGTGTCTGTGTCTGGGTCTGTGTCTGTGTCTGTGTCTGTGTCTGTGTCTGTGTCTGTGTCTGTGTCTGTGTCTGTGTCTGTGTCTGTGTCTGTGTCTGTGTCTGTGTCTGTGTCTGTGTCTGTGTCTGTGTCTGTGTCTGTGTCTGTGTCTGTGTCTGTGTCTGTGTCTGTGTCTGTGTCTGTGTCTGTGTCTGTGTCTGTGTCTGTGTCTGTGTCTGTGTCTGTGTCTGTGTCTGTGTCTGTGTCTGTGTCTGTGTCTGTGTCTGTGTCTGTGTCTGTGTCTGTGTCTGTGTCTGTGTCTGTGTCTGTGTCTGTGTCTGTGTCTGTGTCTGTGTCTGTGTCTGTGTCTGTGTCTGTGTCTGTGTCTGTGTCTGTGTCTGTGTCTGTGTCTGTGTCTGTGTCTGTGTCTGTGTCTGTGTCTGTGTCTGTGTCTGTGTCTGTGTCTGTGTCTGTGTCTGTGTCTGTGTCTGTGTCTGTGTCTGTGTCTGTGTCTGTGTCTGTGTCTGTGTCTGTGTCTGTGTCTGTGTCTGTGTCTGTGTCTGTGTCTGTGTCTGTGTTGTGTGTGTCTGTGTCTGTGTCTGTGTGTGTGTGTGTGTGTGTGTGTGTGTGTGTGTGTGTGTGTGGTGTGTGTGTGTGTGTGTGTGTGTGTGTGTGTGTGTGTGTGTGTGTGTGTGTGTGTGTGTGTGTGTGTGTGTGTGTGTGTGTGTGTGTGTGTGTGTGTGTGTGTGTGTGTGTGTGTGTGTGTGTGTGTGTGTGTGTGTTTGTGTTGTGTGTGTGTGTGTGTGTGTGTGTGTGTGTGTGTGTGTGTGTGTGTGTGTGTGTGTGTGTGTGTGTGTGTGTGTGTGTGTGTGTGTGTGTTGTGTGTGTGTGTGTGTGTGTGTGTGTGTGTGTGTGTGTGTGTGTGTGTGTGTGTGTGTGTGTGTGTGTGTGTGTGTGTGGTGTGTGTGTGTGTGTGTGTGTGTGTGTGTGTGTGTGTGTGTGTGTGTGTGTGTGTGTGTGTGTGTGTGTGTGTGTGTGTGTGTGTGTGTGTGTGTGTGTGTGTGTGTGTGTGTGTGTGTGTGTGTGTGTGTGTGTGTGTGTGTGTGTGTGTGTGTGTGTGTGTGTGTGTGTGTGTGTGTGTGTGTGTGTGTGTGTGTGTGTGTGTGTGTGTGTGTGTGTGTGTGTGTGTGTGTGTGTATGTGTGTGTGTGTGTGTGTGCGTGTGCTCTAGTGTGTGTGTGCGTGTGGGTTTGTGTGGGTTTGTGTGTGTTTGTGTGTTTGTCTGTGTGTGTGCGTTGTCTGTGTGTGTATTTGTGTGTGTGTGTGCTGTGCTTGTGAGTGTGTGTGTGTGTCTTTTTGTGTGCGTGTGCGTGTCTTAGTGTGTCTGTGTGTGTGCGCGCGTGTGTGTGTGTGTGTGGTTTCAGTATGTCTGTCTGTGGTAGTGTGTGTGTGTGTGTGGGTGCAGTGCATGTGTGTGTGTGTGCGCTTGTGTGTTTGTGTGCGCTTGTGTGTTTGTGTGTGCTTGTGTGTTTGCGTGTGTGTTTGCGTGTGTGTTTGGGTTTGTGTGTGTGTGTGTGTTGGTGTGTTGGTGTGTTGGTGTGTTGGTGTGTTTGTGTGTGTGTGTGTTGGTGTGCTTGTGTGTTTGTTTGTGTGTGTGTGTTGGTGTGCTTGTTTGTTTTTGCTGGCTTTTTTGTTTTTTTTTTTTTGTGTTGTTTATTGTTGTTTGCCTTTGTGCTTGTGTTTGTGTATGTGGTTGTGTTGTGTGTTTTGAGATTACCTTTGGATGGGTGGTCATTTTGGGGAACCCAAAAAGAAAGCCGTCCTTTGCTTTGGATATGTCAACAGGCTCAACTACAGGCCAAGGGCAGCAGAGTATCCAGACAAACATCAGGCGGGCAGCCATCTGGGCACATGGAACCCCTGAACACCGATCCGTTTGCAACAGGCAACCCCAACGGCCAGTTTCCAAAGGCCTCTTTTCAAACGCCCTTTGAAGGGTGTGCTTTCCCCACTTGTTGCACACCCCCCAAAAACGGGCCAACACAGGAAACTCCTTTGCTGTGAGCAAGGCGCAGTCTCCAGGAAGGGGATGGCTCTGAAGGGGCAGGAGCCACCAGGTGTACCGGAAGGCTTTGCGCCTTTTCACCAGGCTCTCCATGTCCTTGCCGGAAAAAACAGGGACCCTTTGCCGCCTTGGAATTTGCGCTTATGGATTGGTGCAACACAATTAAAGGTTACAATATTTCAAGTACGTTTTTTAAACATTTGTGGAGATAATAGAAATCTTGCAACAAAGGATTGTCAGAAGCATATTTAACCGCTCATTGCAAGAAATGTGATAGAATGAATTATATTTGGTGCTCAGGCACCCAGGTACCCGGGACAACACAGGACCCACAACTCTCCCGGGTACTAAGGTTGTAAAGTGTCTGGGGAGTGCCTGACAAATCCTTTGACTGGCCAGTTCCAGGTACAACTCCAGGTAAGCCGGGGGCGTTGCCATGGACATTTACATGGTTTCCCTTGGTTGCCTACATGACTGCAACTGGAAGCTGGGGTTCTTTGCACGTGTCTTTTCAACTGGGCTTCTTCTTCAAAAAAGTGAAGAAATCCGATTGTAAAGGGGGTTCAAATGCTGGACCAAATGAGAATTTGAGGTTTTGCTTCAAAGCTCGAAACCTTCTTTTGCCAGCCCCCCAGCATGATTGGGGGCCTTGCACAACCATCGAATCCTCGTGCTGGGCACATGTTGATCGCCAAAGTTGAGCCACGAGTTCTAGGCCGTTGACATCTGGTTGAGCATGTTGAAAACCCTTTCTCTTGGCAAATCAACGTGCAGAATCTCCAGTAAAGTCCTGTTGTTGTGTTCAAACCATTTTGCTCGCACCTGCGGTCTTTCGGATCATGGACCACTAGAATGGATCCCCATTTGGCGGGAATCAAAAATGGCCCAAGGTCAGTACCTTTCCCAAGCACTGCAATGTTTAATGCTTCCAACAAGAGACATGTTGAGGTTTCCACACGTAGGCAGCCCTCAAAATTGCTATTTTTGCTTTGGTGTCCTTTCAATCAGAACCCAGCTTTGGAGGGCCCTTTTCCCGCATGTTGGACAGCACGAAAAAACGTTTGCAAGCCTAGCATGTAATAGGTGATAATCCTAAGAGCTAGGTTTGTTTGTAGGACATCCCAACTAATAGTGGGCTGAAAACACAAAGTGGACATCCAAAACTGTCTTGGACGCTTGAAATTCTGAAAAACGCCTTGAACCCCCCCCCTCCCACGTAGAAATCCCGAGCCTTCCCCAAAAAGTTCCCTATGTTTTGTTCTTGAAACATCACCCTTTCAACTGTCCCCCTCTTCAGGGGCAACCTGAGTGTGTCACACTGGTTTCCAGGTTACCATTTGCCGGCAGAAAAAAAGAACCGGAAAGGGAACCACCCATTGGCTCAGAGCTGAAAGCATTCGCAAGCAGCGAAAGAAGCCGCCGCCCCCTCACTTTAGACCTTGAAAAGCCGCCGTCTCCCACCCCCCCGGTCAAAACAAGGGGCGAGAAAGCGCTTCACTTCCACCGGCGCGTTGCGCACCGGGGAGTGCTGGCAGATCTGGCCCAGCGTGCCCCGAAGCACGCGGTCCTCAATCGGAGCCAAGATGGGAGGCTCAAGATTCATAGGAAAACCCTTTTGGTGTGAGCCTAAACGGACCTCCTCGTTTTTGGAGTTGATTCATTGATCCCCCCTTTCTGGGGTTGAGTCATTTAAACCCCCTTTCCTTTGAAAAAAGGGTGATTTGTTGGGGAATCGTCTTTTGGGAGAGTCAAAAGGGAAACTCCCGTGTTGGGGTTGGGAGATCCCCCCCTTTTTGGGGTTGTTCTAAAAGCAAACTCGATCTGTACTGTCTGTGGCGCCCATCGTCTTTCAGGCCCAGGAAAAATCAGTCGGACTGCACATGTCTTTCAACTCATATGTCGCATTGCGGAACCCATTCCAATTCAGGGTTTCATGTTGTTGAGGAGGTGAACGCCACATTCACTCCCGCAAAGCGCGGCAAAGCGCCACTTGTCCTCTGGCTCAAGCTCTCCAATACTATAGTACATAATCAGGGTAGACTTGGTCTGGCACCAGTATGTCACCTGAAACTGCATTGGATCAATGCGATGAGGATAGAATGAGTGTTGGCCAGTCGTGAAGAAGGATTTGTAAAACACGAAGATCTGTACTCAAGCGCCTATATAATCAAGATTGATGCAACCACCTTTTCTGATTGGCACAAAGGGCTCAAAAAAAGTCATCGTCCATGTGCGTGCAAGGCGTAGCAGTTCACTGTCATCCTCTCTGGAGTACTCTGTAATACTTGGGAGTCCCCGGAATGACTTGAAGCATCGGAAGCAAGCAGTGACTCCCTCTTGATCCTAACTGGCACCATGCCCATCTCTCTTTGGCCTCCGTTCTGGGCAAAGCCAAGTGGCAATGTCTTCGAAGTTCGTCTCCAAACCAAGCCTCGGTTCGGCTCTCCCGCTCTCTCTCTCTCTCTCTCGAGGGACCTGTGCCTCAAGTGCTGCAACTTGATGCCAGACACGCCGGGTTGAGCCTTCGTCTCTCTACATTTGGTGAATATAATCCAGCCCAAATCGCGCTTTCGCGAAGACAGCCAAAGGGGAAAGGGCGGCCGTTCTTTTGGCTGTTCCTCTTGAGTGGAAAACCAACTAGAACCACGGGTGGCCCGAAAGCATAATGGAAAGTGACCAAAGACAAGCAAAGCGAGCCGACATGCAATGCAGGGGTTCCAGTGGAGCGGTTGCTCAAGAGTTGGTGTTGCGTGCGCGCGCGCGCGCGCGTGCGTGCGTGTGTGGGTGTGTGTGTGTGTGTGTGTGTGGGTGCGCGTGCGTGGGTGTATGTGTGTTTGTGTGTGTGTGTGCACGCGTGTGCACGTGTGTGCACGTGTGTGCACGTGTGTGCACGTGTGTGCACGTGTGTGCGCACGTGTGTGCACGTGTGTGCGTGCGTGCGCGTGTGGGTGTGTGTGTGTGGGTGGATGTGCGTGGGTGTGTGCGTGTGTGTGTGCGCGTGCGTGTGTGTGTGTGTGTAGGTGTAGGTGTGTAGGTGTTTGTAGGCGTGTGCGCGCGTGGGTGTCGGTTTCATGCACGTGTGTCTGCTTCCGTTTTCTCATTCGCAAGTGGCTTTCGACAGAACTGCAATTTGAGCCGGAGCTACGAATGCACCCTTTGTGAGCCACTTTCGCGCTGCTGACTTTCTAACTTAAAAGGCCGCGGAGACCAAGCAGGATTTGAGCCCTTGGCCGGTCACTGCCAAGAGCAGGCGCGTAACCACGAGACAAACTCTCAAGCCCGCATTCCGAATTGAAAAAGTGGCATTTTACTAGCATTTCGTGCGATCCGCGACGCCAATCCTCGCAGAGGGTCGCGCGGGCAAGTCAGAAATCATAAAAGTCCTCAGTTTTTGCACATCAACCACGCCAATCCCCGCAGAGGCGCGCGCGCACCTCAGAAATCGTAAAAGTCCTCAGCTTTTGCACATCGACCACGCCAATCCTCGCAGAGGGTGGCGCGCGCAAGTCAGAAATTGTGAAGTCCACAGTTTTTGCACATCGACCACGCCAATCCCCGCAGAGGGTCGCGCGCGCAAATCAGAAATCGTAAAAAGTCCACAGTTTTTGGACATCGACCATGCCAATCCCCGCAGAGGTTCGCGCGCGCAGATCAGAAATCGTAAAAAGTTCTCAGCTTTTGGACATCGACCACGCCAATCCCCGCAGAAGGTGTCATTTTGGCAGGGTGGGTTCGGTCCCGCCGCGCCGCCTTAAGAGACTATCTAATTACTTTCGTGTCCAAATGTCTCGTGCAAGTTTGGCTGTGTGATATCTCGTGCAAGTTGTTCTCGTGCAAGTTGGCTCGTGTAAGTTGGCTCGTGCAAGTTGACTCATGCAAGTTGGCTCGGGCAAGTTGGCTCGCGCAAGTTGGCTCGTGCATATTGGCTCGCGCAAGTTGGCTCGTGCAAGTTGGCTCGTGTAGGCTCGAGCAAGTTGGCTCGTGCAAGTTGGCTCGTGTAAGTTGGCTGTGCAAGTTGGCTCGTGTAAGTTTGGCTGTGCGATAAGGCTGGTGCAAGTTGGCTCGTGCAAGTTTAGCTGTGTGATAAGGCTGGCGATTTTACTGGAAGAACCCTTCGCACTGCTTTCGGGAACTAGAACAAAAGAAAGACCGCTAAAAAGTGGGTTGTCAAGTGGTCTGCTTCCTCACCGCATCGACCATCATAGTGGTGACTCACACACAAAACCCTCCCCAGCCCCCACGGCCAGAAAAGTACCTTTTTTGAGCGAGGGAATTGCCTGCGTCTGACATGGGAGGGGGGGGGGGGTAAACCTGGGCTTGTTCGCAAACAAAATTCACCACTGAGGACTCCAAAGAGTTCATCCTGGGAGCTCGCTTCGTGGTCGGCATGCGAGCCATAATTGCTGTTCGTTGTGTTTCCAGCTGGCATTGGAATTTGACTAGCTTCCCGCATTCCCCAAAAATTGCTGAAATGGATCAAAACTGGGCCAGTTGAAAACCGGAATCTACTGTCGTTAGACAGGCTGTCGACAAAATCCGGCAACATGAACCATGCAAGTTCCCAAGAGAGCCCTTCCTACATTCCCCCCAACAAACCCCTTGCTAAGACGGCGCGGATTCCGTGTTGCACCTGAGGTCGATGACCCTACGGGCTTCCCCATTCGCACAGTTCAGTCAGCGGCGAGCTTCGCGAAGTTGCTATAACTCGCCGGCGCGTGGATGACGTGTTTCACATGGCGCATTTCCAAAGCGAATCGAGGCTTTCACCCATGGGCTTCATGTTCACTAGCTGCTTGAAGCTAGTCAGCCATAAGCGGGGTAGCTGGAGGTACGGTTGATTTCCGTAGTGCAAGCAAGAAACAAGAAGGAGTCCGCAAATTACACCGGCTTGTGGTTGGTTTAGTTGCTGTCGAATTTTGGAATCCATGAAATCCACCGTCCCGGGTAGATTGATCCCTCCAACCTTCAGTACATCGCCAAGGTGCTCAGCTTCAAGAACAAAGTCTCCGAAAATCACGTTCCGCGTCACCTCCTGAAAGAAGGGGCTCCGGATCAAATCCGACCTTCTTGGGGGGAAAGACTGGCCTGCGGTTGATTCAAGTGAGCCAAACTCAAACACAATGTTGACGGAGGGATTTTCTTGGTATATGGGAAATCGACACCTGAACACCTCGGCAGCACTGACAACACCAGGACACCAGCAAAACACAAGCGGGACAAAACGCTACTGGGAAACCTGGCACCACCGAAACACTGCCAAAACACCACCGGGACACCTGACAACACCACTACCACCGCCGCCGCCGCCGCCACCGCCACCACCACCACCGCCAGTAAAACACACCATTATCCTGGTGGTCTTGGCAGTGTCCCGGTTGCTTTTTGGTCGCGTCCCACTGGCCCAGTGGTGTTCCGTTCGCACAACACTGGGAAACCATCAAAACACAACCAACGCAAAACACTATCGAGACACAACAAAAACATATGCGGCAACCACCCAAACACCATCGGAACACCACCAAAACACCACCGAGACACTCAGACACGGACGAGAAACGACCGCGACATTATACAAACACCAGCGGGACACCGCGACTAAAACACCAGTGGCACCCCCAACACAACCGGACACCGGGACACTCCCAAAACACAAGTGGGACAAAACCAAACCATCACTGAGACGGACACCACCCCGACACGGCTCACCACCAACCATTTGGACACCACCGGGACACATCCGGGACACCACCAAATGCCAAAACCCTGCTGGGACGCCTGGATCACAACTTTTACACACCAATGGACACTATTGGGGAGTCAACTTTACTAGCGCCTTCTAGCGGCCCATTCATACTTCTAAAGGCGATCTAAGAACAATCCAGATCAGGATTCAGGATCACTGCATTGGTTGGTAGTGATCCTGGGTGCTGGTTACTTTGGATGGTCTACGTACGAGTTTGTCTCCAAATGAAAGCACCCACAAAATTGTCTAATGTCCTTCAAGTTCGATTGAAAATACGCCACAAAAGAGGTTTCTTCTCAAAACAAAAAACTCAGATTAGCCAAGAAGATCCGGCTGAGAACAAAAGGTTCCAAAGTCCCCTGTGAGCTTGTCTAACAACCAGGCAACCCCGCAAAAGGGAAACCGGCGGGTTTGCGTAATATTGCGTAATTCATGCATGGTGTTCCTTTCGGTTTCATCTTGAAGCAACCTGAACAAAGGGGTACCCTTGAGCCAGGCCGTGGTTTCCTGATGTCCGTTTCAACAAACCCAAGGGTATCAGCAACAAAGACACTCGTTGCATCAAACATCCAGCTGCCAAGGTCCCCAGTTCCTTTCGGCTTCCCGACAACGTTTACTTGTTTTTTGTTCAAACCTCTCGGAAGCATCTAGGGTTGCCCATCAAAGGCAACCCCAAAGACCCAAAGACCCAAACCAAACCCGCCCAATTCTGGCTGCGTTCCTCCGTGAGAAAGCCGGGGAACTCGGTGGAGAAATCCACCAACTCTTCTGGCCAGCACGCGAAAGATGTTTCAAGGTTTCGCCAGCCTGTTGAAAATCATCTTGCTGGTCAGCAGGGAATGAGCGAATCACCCCTGCAAACCATCCCCTATGGTTCCTTTAAGAGAATCTCCAGGTTCATTCCAAGTCATTGCCATTGTTCAAACATCCCGGAAAGACAAAGTCTTTCGGCCTCCTGACGCGGCCGCCCGAAACGGATGGGTTAAGGAAACGCCCGAAAATGAGCTCTCCAGCAAAAATGCATTCGAGACTCAACGAATCACAGCGTGATGACGAGCATTTCAGCCCCACCAAGTTCTTCAACCACTAGAAGAGTCTCTTCTTGATTTTGACGAAAGAAGCCAACAGGAGCAAACCTCGGAAGGGTTGCGGGAAAGGGGCCGTGTGCCCTTCCTGTGTTACGTTTTCCTTTTGGCCCCCGCCAAATCAAATTTTGCAGAGTGGTTGAGAAAAGAACGGGGTTTCTCTATTTTGGGGTCCCTTATTGGTGGCGCAAGTAGTGCCACATAGTGCACACCAGTCAGCTGGCGTGGCTGCGATTCCCAAAAGACCTTCCAGCAGTCAGCTCCATCTCAGTTGGCGAAATCCCCGCAAATCAAATGGCAGCACTGCAAGGTCTGGTCTTGGAAGAATGTTTCGGTAGGCAGAAGAGCACTGCTGCACCAGGCTGCTTCCCTGAGAGGAGGCAAAGCCGTTTTTGAAGAGCCTTCAACAAATGAGCCCATGTTTGGTATCCTCAGCCCCCGGAACCTTGCAACTGCAAAGCTTCCGCCATTTGGCTCCAGACCGTGCCTGCATCCTGCGCATATAGCTGCAGGATCCAAGCGGCGAGCGGCCACCGGCCCATGAAGACCTCAAACTGAGTGAGCCAAAGCCGGTGTCTAGACCTCAAACTGACTGACTGAGCCAAAGCCCATGACTCAATGACTGAGACAAACAAGAACTAGCTCATTCAAGTTTCTCGTCCGCTTCTTGCCCTTGAAAGTTGATCGCTTCGGCCAGCCGGCACGAAGCCTGCCCAGTCTGGTTGTGCCGTCGCCGGAATCCGAGCCCTTTCAATTCGTTCTCTGCAAACACCCGATTGGGAGATGGAATTCAATGGTAAGCTCCTGAAAGGTGGTGGACATGAACCGCTGATGACATCCAAAGGCTCAGGCAAATGAATCTGAAACCCTCAAACGGCTTGCAACCCAAACGCAGATATAATTCCAGCTCATTCCGACCAGTCCACCATGGGCTTCGCCTCAGACAGAAATACGAGCGGGCACCGACCCCTATACTTAAGGGGAGGGGATTCCCTTCGCATATTTGCACCCAAGAGAGATCTCGTTTTTCGGAATCCCTCGAGGCTCCCGCCTGAAAATCATGCGCTACTCCCTCTCAGGCGCCGCCTTAAGCGGGGCCTTGACTTGTGAAAGCTGCGGAGTTGATTTGCCCCAGTGCGCGAGCGCGCACTCTCACGCGGGCTGAGCAGAAAGCAACTTAGTAGCTGGAGAAGCAATGGGTTTCATGTTCCCATCGCTGCCACGGGTTTTCTTGATGGCTCTGTCCCTTGTGGTGCCCTAATTCAACCAATCCAAAAAAAAGTCCCCTCTGTTGGAAACAAGCCCATGTATGGCAAAAAAGACTCCAGGCAAAGGATGGCACACAGGGCAATGACTTCATAGGATCCCAAATATATTCAGCTCGAAATGGTAAACCCAGTCAAAATGGCATGTTTGGCTCCCCCCGCCCCCGCTCCTTTCTCCACCCAAGGGTCGAAAATGCAAAGCCCTCCAGGCTCACAGGGTTTTCCAAGTCCTTTTGACAAGGTCCCAAAAAGGAGCCCGGAAAGGGACTCCCTCAACAAGTCTTGCGAATTTCATTTTGCACGTCAAGAGGTTTGGATACATTCAGTCCGGCAAGCTTTCAGTGGGAGAACACGCGAAGCGATTCGATAAAGAAGTTGCATCAAAACTTGGAGCTGACCCTGTCATAAAATATACATTGTATTGGTTGTTTCGATTGGTCACCTGTGAATGTGAAATGTATCCCAATTGTGCGAATCCAAAAGGTGGGTTTTTCCAGGGTATCGTTCAAGCCAGCTGTGTGCATGACTATTTATCCTCAAGTTGGATCCAACACTTGTCCAAGGAACCAAATAGTTGGTTTCCCGAAGCAACTGCTAAAGTGCTAAAGCAAGTCCGAGCACATTTGAGACCTCACCCAACGCTGGCCCCTTCATCAATCAGGGCTGCGCAATCAGCTTGATTCTGATCAATCACCCACGCTGGCCCGTTCATCAATCTGGGTTCCCTGTCAGATTTCAGGGCGCCTTTCTCCCCAAAACCCCACGAGAGACACTCTCAAAACCCTCAAAACCCCAAGCCCCCCCCCCCCCGGGCACTTCCCGGTTCTCGCTGGCCATCTTGATCTGCCAGTACTCCGAATCTGCCGGTGGCGCCTGGGCGGGCTGCGATCCATTCGAAGGGATCACACGCGGAATGACCCGGGCAGGAGGCTTGGGTTTGGATTTCCCAAGAGAAACTCTTGAGAAAAGGGGTTGAACATACCTATGGGAACAAATGCTCCCAGCTTGGTGTTTTGTGCGGGATGCGATATGGATTATATCCCGTGGTAGTTTTTTTTTGTCTTATGGGAAACTGGCCATGCCGAATTCAGTTTGAAGGGACCTCAACCGTCCCGGTGTCCAACCTCCAAATCGCCAACTCGGAACACCCATGAAAATCCATGGTGTGGCAAGCTTAAGATTGGCAAAGTTCAAAGTTTCCTTTTGGTTTCCCTTTGAAGACCAACCTAAACGGGCATTCCCAATTTGGGGGGAACATCCAAATGGGTGGGCCTTGTTTAAAAGCCATTTCAAACACGCGCCTTGTGCCTTCCATTTCTGGATCTAAGCAGGTTCCAGACAAACACGGAATGGGACACCCCTGAACCAACCGAAATAGTCAGTTCCCGTCCTGCCATGGGACAAATTCAGCCCATTTGGTTTCAGGTAGGCCGGCTGATCTCTTGACGACTTGGTGCCTGGCTCCTTTCCCCTGCACGCGGCGAGAAAGGCGAGACCGGAATTCAGTCTCGTGCCCACACTTTCCCGGCAAAATCTTTAGTCAAGGGCCCCCAAAACATGGCCCCCTACACATAAAGCGAAGGCCAAATGGGGCCCCCAGATTCCGCCGTGACCATAGGACCCATCCGATCCTGACTTCCAGCCTTGCCCATCTTGCCCTTTCCGATCTTCCCTTTGGCATTGAAGACACCGCCCTTGGCGCTGTACACAGCGCCGGCAAAGATCGTGCCGCCCTTGCCTGGAGCACACGAGGCCGCCGAGATGCGATGCAAGTCGCCGATGGCCGTGGTACGTACGGCTTCCTCCGAATGGTCACTACTGAAGATGCACTAATGCTCTTCAGTTCGGCCAAGCATGGGCCTGCATACAACCCCTGATTGTCTGGATGTGGGCTGTGGCTGCCAGACGTGCGCCAAAACACGTCTGTATGCCTCATTCAATGGCTTGTCTAGGTGCAAAACGGATCCATGAAAAGGATTCTTCCCGCCGCTGTTCACATGCAACCTTTGGATAAGTTTGAAAGCAAAGCTTGCCCTTTCAAGCATGTTGTTCAACTATGTACTTCAAAAAACAGCATGAGGAAACTGACAAGCGCACAGTTGAGGAGGTGGCACCATGAAGAAGCACTTGCACTGTTCTGTTTGATACGTGACTGAGTGTATGTATATTAACACATTGCACGCATGCGGTTTGAAGCACAAGAGGTGCTTGGGAGTGCATGAACCATCAAAGCCCGAAACTCCGCCGAAACCCGCCCTTAAAGGGGCACCACCCAGTAATCTAGTAATCGAAAAGCGGCCGTTGGAAAGGTCCAACGACTTTTTGGGCGCACGGCCATGCAAAGAGGGGCCAGGCCCTGTCCTGGAGAAAGCGAAGTGACCATTCCAGACTCTGCTGCTTGAGACCCCTCAATTCAATTTACAATAGGGGTCCAAAGCACGTGGTCTTTCTGGCTCTGACACATTCTTTGCATGGCAATCGAGTTCCCCCTTTTTGTCTTCATTGCACACCTGCTTTCCTATTTGCAGGCCAGAGCTGCCTAAATTCCAAACGACCCCGCAGCTCCCGGCCTTTTGCCGGCGCGGAATAGGTGGCCTGACACATTCTGCCAGCGCCAGAATCAAACCTACCCCAAATGTCAAGAAGCTGCCGAGGCTCCGATTGCCAAGGCGACCATTCTGGCGCTGTGGAGCCAAAGTGGGGGTGGGCTGCGGAAAAAATTACCACTCGTGGCACGGATCAAACCTGGGGACGATCCCGAAGCACATGACACCAACCTGTGAGATGGGGGTCCCTGTGTCTGAGACGTATTCATGTTCCCCACTGTGCAGGCAACAATAAAAATCAAACGTATTAAACCTGCCTCCCCCCACCCCCAACGAAAAACAAACTCCAGAGAGCGCCGTTTTTGCGGCTCCATGTGCCAACGGAAACTCTCATTTCCCACACCTATTGGGGGAATTATGAACATCGCCAACCTGAAATTAGGGCTCCCTGAGAAGCCTCAATCATTGATCATGGGTAAGGTCACAAGCCAAAAATCCTTTAAAAAGTCAAACTATGTTTTGCCCACAATCTGGACAAATTAAAAGCCCTTTCCCTTTGAAATGAGGTACACCTATTTCTCCGGAACCTTCGTGGGTAACGTCAAACCCCCCACGTCCGTTCCGTAGGGCCCAAACACTTCGCCCGCCTTGCCGCCCTTCCTGGGCACAGAGTCTTTCCAAATCGCGCTTGCGCCCAGACCGAGCCGCTGCAAATGAGAAAAACGGTTGGCGGTTGGATGGGCGGAAACTGTCAATGTCCATGGTTAGCTCGGTCAAACAGGTTTCAGCACGGGATCTCAGTTTTGGTGTTGACAACTTTTAGTGGGTACCATTGAATACATGCGTCGCTTCTCCACAGTGACCGTGGTTCGCGCGACACCGCTCCCATGCTAAGGTGCCGTCGAGGCAGGCGTGGTCGCGCCCTGCCGGGTGGGGGCGGAGGGGGAATAGATCGTTGCTCCTGTGAGGGTTGACAACATGGTGACCCTGTTGAGAGAAGTGGCGTCAAACGGGTCCAGAAAAGCTTGGAGGGGACACTCTGGCAAATGGTCAAAACAAGCTGAGGACCCCTTCTTCCCTTTCAAATCATCACCAAAAAAACTGTCCTAGTTGTGTGTCTCAAAATCGAGGACCCCTCCTGGCTTCCAACGTCCGCGCAGCTAGATGTCCGTTTCAAGTAACGGAACATAGGGTACCCCCGAAAAGGAGACACCCAACCAAACGGTGACGCTTCAAACCCAAAGGAACCTCTGAGGTTTAGGGACCCCTGCAAGAACGTCCGGGTCCATATCTGAAAACTGTCGTCGGAGTCGGCTGGAAACAGGAAGCATGCTATTTTTCTGCGAGGGAGCCCGGCGCTGTTGAGGGCGGTGTTAATGGCTGAGCCTTCATTCAATTGAAGACTGGGGCAGGTGTTGCAAAAGGATGTTGTTCTTTGAAGGGTCATGCTTTTGAATTTCATGGTTGGCTCTCCTTGAAGGGCGGTAAGTCTGTAGTGGACACATTCAAGCTATTGTGCAAGCGTCTCCTGCAGGGTATCGGATTTGCCATAGTTCGGCTGCCAAAATAGCATCTAAGTCTCCGAAGCTTGGGACGGCAATGCTCCCCAAAGTTGAGCATCAATCCCCCAAAGGACTATCCAGGGGTCTACATTCAGCAACTGGTCAACTTGAAGAGGTCAACTGGCTGATGGAATGGACGCAACGACGCCGACTGACTAAAGGTCCATTTACCAGGGTCGAATTTTGCGGGGTGTTTCAATGACTCACTCCCACCCCCCCCCCCACGATCGGCCAACCCACAAACGCACCTTGCCAGCCCACGCCCGGGGCGTAACCTGCCAGCTCGCTTGCGCCGAAATTTCCGACTTGCGACCCGTTTAGATACGTCAAAACTAGATGCTGGATTCACCAGTCAAAGAGGGAAACTCCAACTCGCGAAGGCCGCAGGTGACACCACGAAAGATGTGCAGCGGTTGGATGTCTTGCGATCAAGGAGAGCTTTGGTGGAATTGGGAAAAGTTGCCTGTCCCCCAGTGACTTGGGTGTGTGTGTGTGTGTGTCTTCTTTAGGGTTGTGCCAAAGGGAAACCACCCCATGTTCTGGGCTTCTCCTAATTAGACACAAACCCATCTTGTTGAAATCCGCAAGCTTAGAACCTGCGAGGAAAGATCGACCTTGCCTTGCTTCGCAAAGCAAAACGCGGGAAGTCGACAATCGCTGACCCCTGGGATCCGGGTGGCACCGGGTCAACATCTTCTTCCCAATCTCATCCCAGCCGCTGGGCTGAAAACATCCCACGCCG